GTCTGGCTCGGAGCCCAGCCTTCAGCCCCGGGGTCTGCTGTCACCTGCAAGCCCGTCCCCGCGTTTCCGGAGCACACACGGTGGGCCTGGCCCTCCTGGGGGACCGTGCCAGCGCCGTCCAGGCAGATGTGGCTCAACACGCCTGAGCCAGGCAGGAGGGGCCAGACTCCTCAGGCTGAGCTTCTCGACTAAAGAGCATGTCTATGGAAAGAATGCCAGACAGTAAAGAGCAAAACCTTACAGTCTGAGATTCACAGAGCCAGAAAATGAGTGGAAGCAAGACGAAGTATGTCCCTCTTACGGGTAGCACCCGTGTTTTTACAAAGAATTATGTCAATTTTTACATAGAATTATGTCAACCTTTTATAGTGTCTTTTTAAAAAATGCATTTATTCATTTGTTTTTGGCTGAGCTGGGTCTTGGCTGCTGTGCGGGCTTTCTCTAGTCCAGAGGGCGAGGACCAGTCTTGTTGCAGGGGCTTCTCCTGCTTTGGCGCGCAGTCTCTGAGGCGCTTGGGCTTCAGTAGCTACAGCACACATGCTTAGCTGCTCCCAGGCATGCGGGATCTTCCTGGACCAGGGATCAAACCCATGTCCCTGCATTGGCAGGTGGATTCTTAACCACTGGACCACCTGGGAAGCCCCTATAGTGCCTTTGTAAGAAACATTTTTAATTATGGTTCTATAAATATAATATCATCAAGTTAGCTATTTTAACCATCTTTAGGTGTACAGTTCAGTTATATTAATCACTTTGACAACATTGTGCAACCATCATCGCTATCTATTTCCAAAATCACTCCAAACAGAAACACTGTACCCATTGAGTAATAAATTCCTGTCCCCGTAGGACCTTGTATAGGGGCTGCTACTACTGGTACTACTTTCTGCTATGAATTTGATTATTCTAGTATTTCCTATAAATGGACTCAGACCATATTTGCTTTTTTGCCTGCTCTCTTTCACTTAATGTTTTCAAGGTTCATCCATATTGTAGCATGTATCAGATCTTCGTTCTTTCTTAATGCTGAATAACATTTCATTGCACGTTTACACCATGTTTATTTGCTCATCTGTTGGTTGTTTCCACCTTTTGGCTCTTGTGAATAGTATTGCAGTGAACATGGGTGCACACATTCCTGACCAAGTTCCTGTTTTCAATTCTTTGGGGCTCCATCTAGGAGTAGAATTGCTGGGTCATACAGTAATTCTATGTTTAACTTTTTGAGGAACTGCCTGATTCAATTTTTAGGCAGAATGTTTCCAAAAAGGAGGAGGAGAAGTAGACAACGAAAAAGAAACCACACCCAAACCTCACGGCCCAGCTCGGAATAGGTGTTTTGCACTGATTAAGTTTTTTCCCCCTTCCTATCAAGCATTCCATCTGTAATTCTGCTGGTTAATCTTCAGAAAGAGACACTTAGAAAAACAGAGTTTGGGGTTTTCTTTTTTAAGGCCAGTCTTTTCTTCAGAAGTCCTGATAAAGTAAGGTTTCTCTAGAACTTGAAACTGTATTTTAAAACCATGCTTGATACCAAAGCCAAAATAAGTCCCTTCCTCTGAGTGTGTCTTTGTCTTACTGTTTGAGGATACACATGAATAATTGCACACCATTGCACACTAGAACAATTTTAGGCAAACTGCATTGATACATCCCTGTCCTCAAAGATATGTTTCCTTGGATTTTCAAACTTCCTGGCTAGGGCACAAGTAGTGAGTTAGTTTTCCTCATGAGACCTCACTTTATAAGTAGTCAAAGTACTATCCAGGTGGCTCAGTGGTAAAGAATCCGCCTGCCAATACAGGAGCTGCAGGAGACACAGGTTTGATCCCCGGGTCGGGAAGATCCCCTGGAGGAGGAAATGGCCACCCACTCCAGTAATCTTGCCAGGATAATCCCATGGACAGAGGAGCCTGGCAGGCTGCAGCCCATGGGGTTGAAAAAGAGTCGGACATGACTGAAGTGACTGAGCGAGGTACTGTCTATCTTAAAAATACAACGTTGGATTTTACCACACGTGTGACTTTTCTAAGGTTGAAACTCAGTCCCCAAGGCATAATCAATTGAGGGTAAAGTTCTGTAGGAAGCTCAAAAATATTTCAGGAATCTTAAATACTCTATTTACAGATAGGGTAAAATATGCTTTCAATCCATGGGACCAGCGCATGTGGTAAACATAACTCCCTGAAGAAGCAGGAAAAAAAAAAAAAAATTCCACCCTGCCTCTCCACTCTGTGTACTTTGCCATATGTGTGTTCTTGACTTACAAGCTCCTCCTCGCCAGTTCTGAGAAGCAATTTGTTATTTTCCTCTAAACCCCTCAGTTGTGGCAAGACTTTCTTCCCCGTTGAATCAATCTGCTTCAAGAATGCGTTTGCGTGATACTTAATCCCTTACTGGGAGCCCAGATAGGGTTTCTTGCCAGAACTAGAAATGGCCTCTTTTACAAATTCTCCTTCCTAAGCAAGCCATGATTTGGGGCCAGTAACACCCTATCAGTGTATCTTTAAGCAAGAGAAAAAGGCTCCACCTCGATCGTGAATTACAGCAGCATCGCCTCCGACCACAGGGGCGCAGCTCACGGGAGCAGACGCAGCCCGTCTCGGACCTCAGGGACACAGCAGACACTTTCTGCACAGTGGCAGACCGCTGTCCCGTCAGTGGCATGTGGACAGGCTGGCTCTCGGGGGCTCAGTGCTGTCTGCCAGTTTCAGTGGCATAACTACTCCCACCGTGGTGATATCATCAGAGGCAGAGTCGAGAAGATACTTACAGATCAGCTCCCCAGAGCCAGCCCACAGGTCTCCAGGACAACACACTCTCAAAGTCTCCTTCCGCTCAAGACATAACTTAAATCCACATCTACTGAAACAGCACCATCCCCCTCTTCCCCGGAGAAAGTTAAAAATGAGGTTTTGCTACAAAACGACTATCTTCATCACCAAATCCCAGGGGCTCTGCTAATTCTTTCCGAGGACCAGAATTCACTTAAATTATTCCAAAGTTAATATTAAGCCTCAACCTCTGTTCTAATCCAAAGGACACGCATCCTGAGAAATAAAATATCTTTTTGTATTAAAAAAAAAAAAGCATCTCGTTAGTGCCTCCCTGCTGTGGAATTAATCCCATTTAAAAATAATTGTCACATGTACTTTAGGACTTGTAGTTATTTTAACAAAATGTTCTTGTCATGTTGATGTCAGTCTAATGACATGTTACTGGTATTTTTGCTCTCAGAATGTGAATGTTTCCCAGGAAACTGACCAGTGGGAAGGAAGTGGGGTGGGGAAGTGAGAGTGTGGCAGAAATTGCAAGTTAACATTTTTGCTTAGCTCTTTTGGTTGAAGTCCTAGGGTAACTAAAATTTTCTAGGAAAGAAGAGCTTTCAGATTTCCTTGCCTTGACCAAAAAAAAAAAAAAAAAAAAATCCTTCTTTGGGATCCTTTAACCTTCTTTAGCATCCTGGGCAAGTCTCTGTGTAACATTTATGTAGCATTTTCCATGCAGAATTGGTGTTATTGATTTTCTCTTCTTATTCAGTTAGGCCAGGCTCTTCATCAAATAGCCAGTTTGTGTGTGTGTGTGTGTGTGTGTGTTGTTTTTTTAATCTCTTTGACTCTCTCCTGTGCCCAGGAAACACTAGATTTGCTTGTGGAATGAGTGCCGTGAACTATTTTCAAAATGAAAAGATACTATCAAGATGCTAGGGGACTCCTCTTTTTCATGAATTCACCCTCCACAATTGAGCCCCCTTTAAGCCTCCTCCCATTTTGGATTTATTTAGCAACCAACTCTATTGAAAGTTGCATAAGAGGTGGTGGTTTCTACAAACGGCTTAAGCAAATAATGAGGTGCTCCGTGTGGGTGAAGGTGGTAGGTTAATAGTGTGGGCAGGGAGCCAGGAGCGTGGGGCTGAATCACAGCCTTGTCACTCCCCACTGAGAAAGGCCCTGCATGCTTCTGAATGCTGCCTTGTTCATCTGTAAGTTGGGCTCATAGCTAACGTTTTCGTGTACTGTAAAGCTTCAATGAGATAATGAGTTAGATCTAGCAGGCTGACTGACCCAGAGTACGCCTCATTCAGTAAGTGTTCCTGCCCGCTGCCTCCTCCCGACACCTACTTCCTGACACCTACCCTTTTCTTCTCCCAGCTATTAGAAAAAAATTGCGGTAAAATGTATGTAACATAAAACTTACATTCTGAGTGTTTAGTTCAGTGGTGCTAAGTACATTCACACCGTTGGGCAACCATGGTCATCATCCATCCGCCAAACCTCAGCATCCCGGGCTGGAACTCTGGACCCATCCGACAGTAGCGCCCAACCCTCCGCCACACCCGGGCCCTGACCATCGCTGTTCGACTTTCTGCCCCCGTGAATTTAACTGCTTTAGGTCCCTCACATAAGTGGAATCTTGCATTATTCCTCCTTTTGCGTCTGGCTTATTTCCTTTAACACACAATGTCTTCAAGGTTAACGCATTTGTACTGTATGTCTGAATTAAATTCTTCTCTCTCTTTTTTTTTTTAGCTTTGCTGTGTGGCTTGCAGGATCTTAGTTCCCTGACCTGGGACTGAACCCAAGCCCCAGCAGTGAAAGCGCCATGTCCTAACCACTGGACCACCAGGGAACTCCCATGAATTTAATTTTTAAGGCTGAATAATATTCCATTGAACTATACACCGTATCACGTTTATCCATTCTGCACTGGGCTGTATCTACGTTTTGGCTACTGTGACTCGCGCCGCGATGAACACTGGTGTCCAAGAATCTGTTTCAGCCCTCCTCCACCCTTCAAAAGTGTTTCAGTTTCACCCAAAACATTGTTGAACAACGTCAAGCCTCCTTCCTGCTGTAGGTCTTCCCCATCCCCTCTGTCTAAGGGCGTCCCTGGCTGTCCCTCTCCCGCCATCCACTCAGCTGTACTGATCTCACGAAGTATCATTCCCCTTACACCTTAGGTACTGGTCTCTTTCTTGTCTGTCCCCAGGCCTTACATACGAATTCCAGGAGAGTAAGGACTGGCCCTGACTGTACTGCGGCTCTTAGAACGGTGGCTGGCATAGTAGATGCTCAATAAAAACGCACTGAATGGCCAAGCGGCGCCCGCCCACCACCGCTGCCCAGGGTCGTCCGGACAAGCGCTTGGCCGCCGCCTCTGCAGCCGGAAGGCGAGCCGCGGGCGTCTCAGCGTCTCAGCGGTGCCCGGGCGCCCGCCGCCCCGCCCGGCCCTCCGGGGCTCCCTCTGACACGCAGCCCGGATCCCCGCGGTCCGGGCCAGCTCTGACTCACCTTCGGGCGAGCGAGGCCTCGGTGAGGGCAGCACGCGGCACGGGACGGCCTGATTTAGGAACAAACTCAGCTCGTCACTCGCTCCAGACTGTTGGGTGCAAAACACTGCCTCGCGGAGTCGGCTCAGCTGCCTGCCTCGTTCCCCGTGACTTCGTTTCTCTCCCTCGTCCGTCTGTCTTTCCTGCCCCTGACCTCACAGAGGCCCTCAGCGCGTCCCGCCTGCGGCGGCAGACACAGGGACAGCCTGCCGCCCTCAGGCCGCTGGCGGGGCAGGGGGCGCCGGGAGCAGGCTGGACGGGGCGCGGGCCGCGGGCGCTTGACCCCGTCACTCACTCTGCTTGAGGTCAAGGGGGGTAGGGGGGAAATGAACACCCTCTGTCCACTCAAAAATGCATTATTTGTCGGCATACAAATTAGTTAGCTCAGGTTAGAAATAACCCATCGACTTCCTTCCCAGCTAGCCGCTGTATACTTGGGCTAGTCACCGAGCCCCCGGGCCTTGGCATCCTCATTTCCAGAATAACACAGCTGGATTAAGGACAAGAGCCCCGCAAATGCGTATCTTGTGCGCGCGTGTGACACCCACCCACGAGCTCCAGGTCCGCAAACCCCGTCCTGGAAAGGGGCTCCGCAGAGAAACGCCGGGAGTCTCAGGGCGGATGTTGCGGGAAGTCCCAGACGCACTCAGAGATACGGGAAGCAGGACCCCCGGGTCTCAGAGGCCGGCACCTGAGAGGGGCAGCTTACCCCAACGCTGTGCTTCTAGAAGCGGGTTTCTGCCCCGGGGGTCCTTGGCGGTCAGCGCCGGCAGGGATGCTTCTGGCATCCGCTGGGTAGAGACCGCGGTGCCGCTGACCCTCCCACGAGGCATAGGCCGGCCCCCCCGCAGACAGCGGTCCAGCGCCCAGGTCAGCGGCGCCGAGCCGGGTCCGCACGGGCTGACGGTGGGCCCGGGGAAGCTGGCCGCGGGCAGCGCCTGGGGGACCGAAGTCGGGCCAAGACCCCCGCCCTGATGGGCCCAAACCAGGATGCGCTCGCGGCCCCCCACCTTCCCCAGGCCCCTGCTCCTTCACCCACTCAATCTACAAGGTTCACTGGTTCACGCGATGACGTTTACCGAGCACGCGGCTTTCTCCGTACCCGCCGCCATCTGCGCCCCTGGCCTTCAGGGTCTGTGAGCGCGGACCTTCTCTTCCAACGCCCACGAGAGCCTCTCGGCAGGACTAACCCAGCACACGACCCACGCGCAGAGCTTCAGCCTCTCCTGAGGCCCCGGACGGCTTTCCGGGTGGCTGGCCCGCGGACCGGGGCGGTCTGTTGGCTGTTAGCCGTTTTTGAGGCGGAAAGTACAGAAATCAAGTCAGTCCTGTGAAACTTTTATGGAATTTGATCCACTTTATGGTTACTGAATCCAATGAGAAGCGGAGCTGGTGCTTTATCTGCCTTTGCTTTATTGGTTCATCTCTCTAGCACTTAGCTCCTATTGCATTTTCAGTGTCTGGGACAGAATGGTTCTGTCACAGCTAGTGACAAAAAACAGCTCAGCTAGAATTTTTTTTTTTTTTTTGCATTTTAATGAATTAATTCACTTACAACGCTGTGTCCATCTCTGCTTACAGCCAAGTGACTCAGGTTTACACACACACATTGTTTTTATTTATTTATTTAAGTTTTTTTTTACATTTTTTTTTTTTTTAATCTTCTTTTCCATTATGGTTTATCCCAGGAGCTTGGATAGAGTTCCCATGCACCTCAGCTAGTTTAACTCTTGAGTCTTTTCTGCATCATGCTAGTGACTTTCCACCTAGGCTACCTTCCCCTTTTCTAGCCACAGGTGAGAACAGGTTTACACAACAAACAAAAAAACCTTCCATAGACTAAACCCTTCTAGAGTCCACGACCTCAGGTAAGCATTTCAAAGCTTGGGGTAGGTGAAGTTACTCCCATTTAGTGGATGAGGATTACAAGCCTGAGGGAGACTCAGTAGTTCAGTTCAGTCGCTCTTTGCAACTCCATGAACCGCAGCACGCCAGGCCTCCCTGTCCATCACCAACTCCTGGAGTTTACTCAAACTCATGTCCATCGAGTCAGTGATGCCATCCAGCCATCTCATCCTCTGTCGTCCCTTTCTCCTCCTGCCCCCAACCCATCCCAGCATCAGGGTCTTTTTTAATGAGTCAACTCTTCGCATGAGGTAGCCAAAGTATTGGAGTTTCAGCTTCAGCATCAGTCCTTCCAATGAACACCCAGGACTGATCTCTTTAGGATGGACTGGTTGGGTCTCCTTGCAGTCCAAGGGACTCTCAAGCGTCTTCTCCAACGCCACAGTTCAAAAGCAGGAGACTAAGAAACTCGCCTAATTTACAAAACAGACTCTTGTGAGTAGACAGTGAAGCAGGAGCCGGAAACCCAAGTTCCAGCATCTTTGAGGGAGGGAAGGACTGGGAGTTTGGGGTCAGCCCGTGCAGATTGTTACATACAGGGTGGAAAAGCAAGCAGTCCTCCTCTATAGCACAGTGAGGGAGCATATTCAATATCCTGTGATAAACCAGGATGGAAAAGAACGTGTCACGACAGGAATGTGGGACTTCCCCGCTGATGTGGTAGGTAAGAATCCACCTGCAATGCAGGGGACAAAGGTTCAATCCCTGGCCTGGGAAGGTTCCAGGCCGCAAAGCAACCAAGCCTGTGAGCTCCAACTACCCAGACGGCACTCGAGAGCCTGCGAGCCCCAACCACTGAGCCTGTGTGCCCGGCTACTAGAGCCTGTCCGCAGCAAGAGAAGCCCCGCACCGCCGCGAGGGTAGCCCCTGCTCGCTGCAACAGAGAAAGGCCCCGCACACAGCAACAAAGACCAGCGCGGCTGAAAATAAATAAAAATTATAGAGAAAAAAAGAATGTCTGTGCATGTGGAACTGAGTCAGTTAGCTATACAGCAGAGATTGGCACAACCTTGTAAATCAACTAAACTTTAATTTAAAAAATGTTGGAAAGATGCATTAATATGATAATCACATATTTTATTTTGGGGGGATATTATTTGACCTTTTAAATACCCTATTTATTTAAAGAAATCAATACTTGCCATGATATGTAAGGTACAAAAGGGTGTTGAATCTCCTTCTAACCTTGTTTCAAGTGACCTAGTTCTTAGGATAAAAACGTATCTTACAAATTTCTCCCGTGTATTTCCAGAGTTATTCTGTGAATATGCAATTTCTGTGCTGTGTGCTGTATTTTAGTCTGTTTTTATTTCACAGTGTATTTTGGAGAAGGCATCATATCAGTGAAGTAAGTACTTCCTCATTCTTTTTTTTATTGCAGCATAGTATTCCATTTGACTCATGTAACCTGTCTCCCATGGATGAGAATTTAAATCATTTCCACCCCTTTGCTCTGACAAGCAGTGCTTCAATAAGCAGCCTTGTCCACTAATCCGTGTGTGTGGGAGTAGATCTGAAGAATGGCTTCCAGGAGTTATGTGCACATTTCAGAGAAAACAAACAGCAAAGCTCGGCTAGGCGTTCCCATTCAACACATGAGAGGGGTAGCACCTACTCTCAAGCTCCGGCATTTTTGGGGGGAGGGCCACATTCAAGGAGAGGCTTCATTCTCCTGGACAACAGAGGCAAGAGGGCAGTCTCCAAATGGCTAATCTGGCAATAACGGTCTCCCGAGACCAGAGAGGCAGGCAATTGTACCAGCACGGTTTACGTAGTTGAGAAGTGACTTGAAAGTAATTGGGGTTGGCAGGCATCTGCCTGACCGCACTTACTCTTTTACGTGTATGGTCGTTTCTGTAGCGTCTTTCTCTTAAGAGCCAGCACTGCATTCCTCCGAGGCTTCGGGGGAGAGTGCAGCGGCCAGCATACCTCACGCTCACTCGAGGGGCTTTCACAGAAGCTTGGGCCTTTCCCTTAAAGCTCTCACGTTCACCTCCAGGTCGATCTGGCCTTGAGGAAAGATGTCTCCTTGCCTTTTCCTCTGTGCACCAATAGAAGGAGAGACCTTGTTCTGCTTGATAGTTTTTAAAATGTTCTTTAAGACATCTTGATGGCTTGTGAAATCCAATTTTTCATTTTACTTGGAAAGAAAGACTTTATTAGCTCACAAGCTTTTTTACATCAGTCCCACCTTGGAGTAATTGTCTATGCTGTTCACAAGTCTCTTCTTCCCACCAGTGGATATATTGATAATTAGTAACCATAATGAAACTAGAATACCTACCGTGTCTTGAGAATTTATCGCTTTATGTGCATTGGCGTTTCATTCTGCAGTCCTTTTCTTCCCCACAGTGTTTATTTACTTTGGCTGCATCGGGTCCTGGCTGCGGCATGCAGGGTCTTCGCGGCAACGTGCTGGCCTCTCTCCGGTTGGCCCCGGGGGCTCCGAGCACAGGAGCTCGGTCTCTGAGGCCCGCGGCTTCTCTGTTGCGGAGCGCGGGCTCTAGGGTGCGCAGGCTTCGTTGCCTATTGGCATGTGGGATCTTAGTTCCCTGACCTGGGATCAAACCTGTGACCCCTACGTTGGAATGCAGATTCTTAACCACTAGACCACTAGGCAACTCTCTCATTCTACAATCCTATGAAGTCAAACTCCTACTATGTGTATGTTGCAGAGAAAAAACTGAAGCCTGATTTAACAGGGGGTTAAATTATGCTCAAGCCCCCACAGCTAGTAAATAGTAGAGAATCTGGAAAGTGGGTCAAAAACAAATGCTCTGGAATAGACGATAGCTCTGATTCTCTGCCGGGGGCGATGCTGCCTCCTAGGCAATTGGACAGTGTCTGCTGACCTCCTGGGTTGTCCTGACGGGTGGAGGGGGATCCGCTGCTGGCAGCCGCGGTGTAGGAGGCAGGGGTGCTGCTGACGCTGTTCAATGCACAGGTCAGCCCCACCACAGAGACTTCTCCAGCCCCAAATGTCAGAAGTGCCATGTTTGAGAAATCGTGGGATATACCAGCAAGTCATTCAGACCAAAGCATTTCAGACTGGTATTCTTATCATCTATTTTTCTGGGAACCATAAACTCAAATTGAATACAGTGTGATCAACATGATAAAAATTTGAATGGTATGAATGTAAGATAATGTGGCATAAAATATTAAAAATATCTGATCACAAATTTGATATATTGTGCATTTCCTGTCAAACTAAAAATTGGTCAAGAAACACCATTTCAGAGCCATCACATTGAGGGTCTACGGTATAGTGGTATATGGTATAGCCACATGACAATACCAGTGAGCTGGCAAACAGAAATGTTTTGGTCTATGAGTTTTTCAGGTGCAAATCCGTTGTCCGTGTACTGAGGACTGAATGAAAGAGTGGCGTGCAGATTTTTATGTGCCTATTGGTAAATAAATATTTTTGATTTGTCTCAACCTATAGAGATTTGCTATAAAATATCTTTTCACCAATACTCTAGGACTTGCGCATAATTCTTCTCGGAAATTATTCCTCAGATAATTTGCACTTATCAAACTTGTAATTATTCCAACAAATACGAAGTTGCCTTTGAATGAGACTATTTCCAGAGCATACAAAGCTGGGTGATTTTAGATTGTTCCCGCGTCTTGGTCCTCGGCAGCGCCTGTGAGCATCTGGAGGCGGCAAGTGTTTGCTCTTTAGTGCCCGTGATTGCCATTGTCGTGAGCGATGCTGGAGGGCATCGGATCACCCAGCCCTCAGAGCAGATGCCCGCGGAGGTGCCTGCGCGTCTCAGACGCTCCGTGACGGTGGCAGGAGTGACGACTCCGAAGCAGTGGTGGAGGACCGCTTGCCGGCTCACCTGTCACTTCTCATTTCAGCACAGGGTCACTGTGAGGTACAGGGTGTTTCTCCGAAAATAAAAAGGGAGCTTGTAAAGCAGGGGTTGGCAGGCTTATTCTGTGAAGGGCCAGCGATTCACCGTTTTAGGCTTTGTGGGCCAGATGGTCTCCATTGCAATGACTAAACTCTGCCTGGTGGTGTGAG